TTAAGACGCAACTATTTCGGATTACACGGTCGATGTAAAGAGGGTGGACATCATAACATATGCATCGTTAGTCTAAGGGGGAGGGACCACTGACCGCGGACCGTTTGATTTAGTGCATGTCGCGTTGAAATCACAAAAAGTGGCAAAAAAAAAATGGAAAGGATTCGTATACGGCGGAATAGTAAATATAATAATAATATAACATGCCAGTTTACCCGATGGGTGGTGGGCGATTTCGCAGTGTCTTGTGTGGCGGTGGCGAACGGAACGTGGCGAGAGAGAGAGAGAGAGAGAGAGAGAGAGAGAGATCAAGGTTAACACTTTCTAACGACACCAGAACGACCTTACCGCGGCATCGGTGCTGCAGGTGCACAATAATTAGTCGCGCCAACAAATATCTATGGTTAAATAGAATTATAATTTTTTTGAGAAACAGTATTTTGCCAACAAATTGTAATTTATTCGTCAATACGTCGTTACACACTTATACCTATATAATAATGCACTATATGTACGAATCCAGCAAATGAAAAATCGTTACCACAATAGTGAACTTTACGACAATAATTGCGCGCAAGTATTATGAGTATTATAATTTATAATGCATAAGCGCGACATATTCACGAGTATATATAATATTCTATTAAAATACACAAGCGCGTATTATGAGTCATTCGAAATTCCGAGAGGAAAAAACGGACTTTCGTTGTAGAATCAAATATGCATAATATACTATATGGACTATAGAGGCTCTCTACTAATGCATATACTACAACTTCCTACGCACACTACACGCAGAACTGACAGTCCGAAATGTCCGTTCAAACGGTACAATAGTAATATTATTATATATTATTATAAATTATGTAATCTACATAATATTATAGCAACGACCATATGGGCATAATATTTTTTTCAGTGCAAGGGTGTTGGCCCGCGGCTACCGCTGTTGCACGAACACGATAAATGTCTACGGAATAATCACCTGCAGTAAGCCGTGCGAAACGAGAGGCGTATGTCATTAAAAAAATCCGAAACCGAACGTTTTAGAAAAACCGTTCAGTTCCTCACTGTGGAATGGTGTGGTGTCCACGAAAAATTTCGGATTTCAGTTTTCCAGGAAAGATGATTTCGCTCTCGCGTACACTCGGTTAACATTTTGATGATTTCCCTCGTCGTCGCCGAAACCTATTGTTTTCCCGCGGCAAACACCACCGAACTATAACAACTGTTGTGTTAAACATTGTAAAACCCAAACTTGGCTGGTTCTGAACAACTCACGGATTTCACTTTTTAATCGGCGTACGAAAAATTTGTCGTTCCACGGCAGATAAATATATGCATTCGATATGTATCCGAATCATATTCCACCGTCTTACTTGACCTAAATAAAATTAACATTAAATTTCCGATACGCCCAAGAACCCGAAACCGCATTCCTAATGCAATATTTATAAATACATAATAAATCGTTTAGGATATTAATATTATGGTAATTATTATTACAATGTCGATTAAGTAGGTACAGTGTATTATTATTATTATTATTATTATGTATTGACAAACTCTAAGTGTCAACCTACACGTGCGGAATTTACGTTTTATGTTTTGGTTTTCTAATTACATACAGACATAGGTTAATTATACAGTAGGTACTTACCTATATTATCTATATTAAATTATATTTATCGCGTGATGACATAACATAGAATTAGCTATACGCGTAGCTGAACTATGTCATTTTTAACAAATATTAAGTAATTTTATGGTTCTGGTAGTCACATTATTGTAATAATATGCTAATCGTACACGTATTTGATGGTATATATTATTATAAGGTATATTTATAACTGATGAACAGATACTACTTGCGCGTCATTATAAACAACAATATTCTTTTTTATACTATGGCTATGAAAATATACAGGTGTTTTTCATTCATGTAATACGTGTACGCGTGTCTACTAGTTAAGTCCAATCGGAGGCGGCTGAGAGGTCTTAGTAAATATAATTTCCGAGATAATTTCGGACGACATTATTTTCGACAATGGTTTTGGATTACAGACATCGTCCGGACGTCGATATGGATCGGACGATAAATGGGCAGATGCCAGGCTTTATTTTTAACAAAGTATCGATTTTTATTGCCCTAGATGTTATCGATATGATGTAGATCAATTAAATATTTTCTCGGGCCATCAGCGGCTATAGACCGTTGTTCAATTTATAATATCCGACAATAATACAATATGGACGCTTATATTAGATATCTTAAACGTTTATTATTATTATTTTGTCTAAATTATTTGATTATTATGCTGGGCAATTGATTAACATTTTTTACTTCGTCGAAAATTGCGACAGTTACGATATTTCTACCTATACGTTGCTAGATAATTTACGATAGTTTTTTGCATTTTATATTTATAAAATAACGTTAGTTAGAATTTTTTTCATTTTCTCATCACGCGTTTATTGCTGGAGGAATGTTAACTGTATTTTATTAAAATCAATGCGCGCCAATCTCGCTGGACTTTCAGCAGCCAAAATTATATCTGTAAATATTATGATTTTTATTGATGAAAGCCAAAAGTACTTTTCTGGAACGATTATTTTCTGGTATTTAACGAATAAAATTTCTCCATCGTTTCCTCCATAATGATAAATGGTCTCTACAGCAAACAGTCTATATATTATTATAATACAATACACGTCGCGTTCAATTAAATTCGTCATGCACAGGAGAAACAAATTCTGACCCAATTATAAACCTACGGATTGATTATTCTTTAATTTTTGTAGAAGATTCTTATGGGTAGAGTGAAAGTAAACGAAATTAACCACGAACCGCGTAATTGTTGATGCGCAATACACTACTTAAAATTAATTCATTGATACCGAAAATAGACATACAGAAAACTCTACAGACCCGAATTTCATGTATACACAATATAATAAAACAATACTTTCATATTCGACATTTCTTTTCAAACCTATTACATATTATAATAATATGTCAAATATAAATAATTATTATCATCGCGAGCGTTAGTTTTTCTATACACATATATTACGTAATACACTATGTTAAATACCAAAGATGTACCTATAATGGCTATGCGTTACAGAGATTTACAAGTTTTCTCGTCATTCTGGTTTACATTAATTTATCCATTAAATTGTTAAACTTTCTTATTCAGAGTCGACTCATTAATAGGACAATAATATTATAGTACGCTGTTTGATTCCGTGAATATATACCCACAACAGTGTACACAGCGAGAGTTTCGGGATGTAAGTACGCCGTAGGTACAACATTTAAAAATGGTTAGTTCGTTTCTTGTTACACAGTTACCACGCTCTAAGGTTGACAAGTGCGCTGATACACCTCATCAAAAAACGTACAATAATTACCAGAATTAATACGCAACATACGTACTACCGCACTGGTATTTATATGTTTTATTATAGCCATTGGTTAAGTAAACTGTTTACTTAATCAATGTTATAACACACCTATACCGGGAAAAAAAACAAACAATTATTATAGTGGAGGAATTTTCCTCGTCCACGGCTAATAATACTGTTAAGGAGAATATTGTTAAATTATATAGATACTGTTTGTGGTTAAAGTACCTATATCATTATTAGGGATCATTGATCGTTTTATAATATCGTCCCTCCTATATTTATTATCATAATTCCGATAACAATGTCTTATAGTGATGACCATTTTCTTATTAATTATTATATCTTTTATTGCATGCTAATTATTCGTGTTCTTAAATGTCTCTTGTAATGTAACCATTGGGCTTCCAGACCGCACTCTCGATAAATAAATGAATAAATCATTCGAGTAAGATAAAATATTATTAATTTGTAGATGATTTAATCACACAGATTTGGCCACTAATGAGACAAAATACTAAAAGTATGTAATCGATTTACGAAATTACATTGTCGAAATCAGTATCTCAAACCGCAAGAATGTTAAATTGACTTAAAACTGAAGATTGTAATATTATGTGAAAATTAATTGGTTGGGTGATGCTGATAAATAATATTCGACAATATTACATTAAAAAGTATAAAATATTATTATGTTGTAGGTGATACGCGCAGCAGCGGCGATTACAAAACCGCGTTGCCCAATTTCGGTTTGATTTTAATAATATTTGCACATTGCGTTAACACAATATAATAAACTTGTTCCGACTATTCAAATCGGAAATAAATAATGATAAGAAAAAACGAGTGTCGTGACGAAACGTGGCGTTACCGCGTCGAAATCGTAAAGCAGTTTTCCACAAACCGAGACGAGACGTTGCAAAATCGATAAAAAAAAACCGTCGTTGCAGTGTCTCGGGGACGAAGCAACCATCGAATTTGCACAAATATTGTTTTTTTACAAGCTCCTAGTCACTATATAAATAGGACACGAGTTATCTATACCAATACTACAAAGCTGAATGTATATTTGACCGCGTTAATCTCAGAAACTACAGAACCGTTTTCAACAAAAAGTTCACTAAATAGATTCTTTGAGACTAGTTAACGATCGAGGGTGATACAAATCTTATTTTTTCAACCACTTTTATAGGTTGCTGCTATAGGGTGACTAACGCATGAATTTTGTTTTAAATGCAAAAATGTTTTTATTAAATATACTTAAATATATTAGTATGGTTCTACAGTCACTTTGGCCGAGCTGCTTTACTGTGGATTTTCTTGGAATAAAAGAACTTGGGGAAAATAAATAACCTTGTTAATTAAATGTACAAAAAAGGCCAATGTTCTTATTTTCGTAGCACATACTCTCAACTAAAAACTTATTCAACCGATTTTGACTCGGGTTTCAGTGATTATTCTTATGGAGATATGAGAAAAGTTAGAAAAACGTTCGAAAATATACCAAGTTGAACATCTCATCCGCTAAGGAGATTGCCCGCATATCGATATAGCATCTTATAAAATAATAGTGTAAGTGGTAGTTTTTTTACCTGGACACGAGTTGTGATGTTTTTTCGTGTCAGAGGCAGTGGCGGTGGGGGTCGACGAGCTGCCGGAAGAGGAGGCGACGGTGCTGGAAGCCGAAGCTGCGTTTACGTCGCTGGCGGTTCGGTTCGATGAGATCGTGTTACCGGTCCTGCGCTTTCTGAGACCATACGTGTGTACAGGAACTATGAGTTTGGGCCTAGGAATGGCGAAATTGTCTTGGCCGCTGCTGCCACTGTCGCCAGCAGTGGCGGTCGCGGTCGAAGGGGATACGGTGGTTTCGGTGGCAGTGGCGGCGATGACGAAGGACGCACCCGCGTCCACAGATAATTGTTGTTCTTGTTGGTGGTATAATTGTTGTTGATCATCACCGTCGTCTTTGTCGTGGTGGCGGCGAGGTTGACGGTTGTCGTTGTTATTGTTGTTGTTGTGGTGGTGGTGGTGGCGGTGCTTGTTGAAGTGATCGTCGTCGGAAACGACCCGGAGCAGACGGTCGCCGCCGGTGGCCACCTTTTTGGGTGCCGGATTCCGGAACGACAGACTCTTCTTGATCTTGGCCGCAGACGACCGGCAGAGATCGCGAGCCGCCGCCGCCGAAGCCTCGGCCCGCTGCTCGTCCAGAATCTCAGCGGCCACCCGCTGACGGGTCCGGTATCGGTGTGCGGCCGTGTCGTGGCGGACGCTCTGCACGCGACTCAGTGGTTTGGCCTTAGGCCGACGGGCCGACGCGGCCGCCCATGCCGCGGCGTCCTGTTCCTCTTGGCTGCTGCCCGTGCTGTCGCTGCTGCACGCCTGCCGCTTTTCCGACGGATTCCTGCGGACGACCTGCGTTCTGCCTCGGCTTCCGCCACTGCTTTCGCCATGATCGTCTTCGTCGTCTTCAGTCCAACCGGCGACCCCGTCGTGACGCTCTTTGCTTCGCGATCGCAGACACCACTTCAACCGACACTCTTGCCAACTCGCCTCGTACGAGTTCATGTCGTCGGACGGCACCGGTTCTGTGGAGATGACGACGTCGTGGTCGTGCTTGTTGTTATTGTTGTCGTTGTTGTTATTGGTTTGGTCGTGGTTGTCCTTATTGTTGTTGTTGTCGTTGTTGTTATTGGTTTTGTCGTGGTCGTCGACGATGGCTTTGACGTTGACGTTATCGTTATCGTCGTCCTCGTCCTCGTCCTCGTCTTCTGCTTCCTCTTCCTTTGTCGCCGCGACCAAAGGTACAACTTGTGTAGCTTTTCCCGGGTAATAGACGAAACAGATTTTCATTTTACGTCCATAATTATTGCTGCTGTCGTCCGATAGCTATATTATAAAAATATTTATTTTAAATACACGACACGTTCATTTTTCACGTCTACCACTACCTTGTCATTGCTCTTGTTCTAGCGCGCACATTAAAACCGAAGTACCTATACTAGAAGAAAAACACTAAACTAGCTATCAAAAAGGATCTATTTTATATCTTTGCTAAAAATTATTAAGTTCAAAAACACCTCTGCTACTACTACTACAAAAACTACTACTAACTTCTGCGGGCCTCGAAAATGTTATGCATCCACCTGACTTTTTTAACCTCTGATTAAGCCAAATAATATATATAGGTATTTTTGATATTACCTATAAATTTTGTCCAGTGTTGCTTAATTTAAAAAAAAAATTGGGAAATTAGTGGACCTGCATAAGTCAAGGTTAAAAAAAAACATTAATTCATTTTAAAACACTGTCACGCTGATTTTCCACTTTTTGCTAGATACCCAATACCTATATTATACAACCTAATTATTTAATTATGTAAAAATCATTTGAAAACACTGTTACGCAACACCTAAACACAGTAATAAATCTAATTAACCTTATTTAAGAGTAATGTAGTAAGTTAATTTTAATAGGACAATTTGAAGAAGAAAAAGTCGTTTGACGAATGAATGAATAAACAAAATAATGGTAGAAAAGTCTTCATAAATACAGAGTGATGAAAAAACAAAATCATATCATAATGTATATAAATTTAACGGACAATATTCAAAAATGTCTGGAGACAGTGAATATAAATAATTAGCAACACTTTTGATTATTTTAATGTATCGCAATGGCGTAATAGAAAATGGCCTATGTCCACTATAAATAAGACCTCGCCTGACTTTTCACCCTTCTACGATAAAAACATTCGGATAAAACAAAATCTGGTATAACTCTCTATGCAATGATAGTTTAAAGTATTTTTAGCTATTTCAATTAAAAGTATAACGAACACATCTATAACATCAATATTGTAGTCTTATGCAAATAAATATTAATTAATCTAATTTTGACGATATCCTTCCAAAGAAGTCGTTTTAAAACTGTATATATTTTGCATCTGTAGCTGTACGATATCACTCAAATGGAAAGAAATCATTTTTGTTATTGTGCTTTCACATCATGTTTAACATAAATCGGTAAACACAATAGTGTTTGTGAAGGTAATTGCAGGTATAATAGGTTACTGTAATCTATAGCACGTTTAATATGCGGTTTAATTCTGACTATTTAAAAAATCTATATGGTATATCTTATACCAGTCTATATACTGGTGGCGTTCCATAGTTTAATCATTAATAATTATGTACCTTTGATCGTCGACTTTTTGATTTTTCAAACGTGCCTTTATCTGTCAACGACTTTATCGATGCATATAATTATGGTGTTTATCAAGATGTTTCTGTTTGTTTCTGTGTCAACGTAATTCATCTAAATATCGACTACAGTCTGCAGACGGTGACTAACGAACACTTATAATGGCATAATATAAAGAACGGTTATTTAAAAAGCGCTGAACCCTAGCTGGATTACAATTCAAACCCCCCATATCCCGATACATAATAACATAAATTTCGGTGAACCATACACGTTTTCGAATTCTCCGATCTAAGGTGTACTATATTATAGCACTATTATTATTATTTTATTATGGCAGCCGATCTGGAGCTGAATACTATAACTACAAGCAACCGTCATCCGACAGTATTTTAAACATTATGAGTATCGACTGTTGGCAGTTTTCTAAAACGAACGATCGCAGAATCACGCGTTGTGCCGCCGTCGGATTATTGTGAAATTTTGTCGGTTGACTTTCATTCTCCGTTACCTTGTCCGAGACACGATAACACTGTCGCCCGGCAGCAACGATCATTAGTCATAACAGTAAATAGTAGTAGTTGTAGTAGCAGCTGCAGTACGATTGACTATTGGGATAATATGGTGAAGTTTTCAAAACTTATGCTGTTATTATGCATCTCATCCATGGGTATGACCTCGGAACAATTTCGATTTAATCTTTGCTGGACGGTCTACATGCTGGTACCGACTGCACAAGTGCCATATTTCATGCCGGTTAATTGTATATGTACAGGTAACCCACACGCGACATAATAATAATGTAGCCACACAGGCACCCGAAATCGTGGTCGGTCACACCCAGCACGGTTTTGGTCGAAGGGTTGTGTACCCTCACTTATTGGATCACCCGTTATTTCTCAACTCTTCTCAGACCCCGAAATCATACCCTTTGCTCGATTACGCAACGCGCACGCACATAATACGACTCACGTGGTAAGAGGACACACGCGATTTAATGCATTTTTCAACACCTACGTTTGGTAGTATTTCATGTAATATCAAACAACGTGTTTGTGAGTGAGTGTGTTTTTTATACTAAATCTCAATAGAAGCGTAGGTACCTACAACGATTTCGAATGAGATAACGTTGTTTTTTGTGCGCACGCTTGACGCGATTCAATGAAATGTCGGATTTGAGAGATTAGTGGCCGAATTAGTCAATAACACGTATATAATGTTTGTAATTCGATTGCTAAATGAAGGCACTTCGGACTGCGCACAGAAAACTCGTCGTAATAATATTATGTCATTGCGTGCAGCCATTCGAGTACGACGGCGACGGTTCAAAAGTTGGGAAATTTGCTGATAACGAAAACGAGGCGGAAAAAAATGTGAGTCGCGTTGCCTACCGAAAAAGCACTATTCGGTTCAACATTTTTACATGGTAACTATCACTAGGTGTGCTGATGTAATATTATTGTAGGTACATATTAACGGTCATATTCGGGTACCACGTTGACTAATGGTAACCGTGTTTTCTTTACTTCGGTTAAGGTACTGTTTCCCCACAGCGTGTAACAGTGGAACAGCACGGTAGCGTCAGACGCCGGTAGACGCTGCAGAGTAACCGTACCTTAAGGCACTTATGCTATTTTTTTTTGGGTGGCAGGCATTAACGGAAATAATATCTAAGGCCGATGGGTTGCGCAGTCGCTGGTCTGTACGACAACGGATTGAAGGCGTGCACCACAGACGGCGTGGTCGCGAGATAAACAAGGTAGACACGAAGAGACCTAGAGTACGGTCTCGTAACGGATATGCAAATGCTGTTGGTGGGGCGGGCGGAGGGGCTGCGGTTTTAACCGGATACCGAGGTCGTGCAGAGGCCGGAGGGTGTTTGGTTGGTCTTTCGAGGCGCCTTATCGCCGTTGCACCTACCACCACCAGTAGAGTACGCTACCCCCTGATGATCACTAAAAGCTCGGCGCCCGGTAAACGCCATACAAAACATACGGCTGATCTCGTCCCGAGGAAAACCGATCTGAACACAACAATCGCAGAGCAATGACACAGCGGTGAGTGAATAGGAAAAACACAAAAAAAAAAAAACCATAGGTATTTAAAAGAAAAACGAGATGCGCTCTCCGCTTACCGTTGGGGAGGGCCGAGTTTCGGCGAGGGACGTATCGCGGTTGTCTCAACCGATATTAAACGAATCGACGAACGAATACACTCGTCAAATCGACGACTATGCGGCGAAAACGGACGGGGCGCGAGAAACGATTCTAGAAAAATTAGAAACGCACAGCGAGTTGGGACGGACGGACGGACTGACGCGAAACGAGTTGGCACGCGCGCACTACACACGGACGAACAACACACAGGACGGCGACCGCGCACGAACTGACGGCGGACGGGCGGGCAGACACTGTTTGCGTCGCGTTCTTTTGTGTCCGGCTGCGCGGAACAGCTGGCGGTGGTTGGCCGCCGGTGTGGTGTAGCTGCCGCCGCCGCCGCTACGCGCTCCGCTCGCTTACCCCCCTCCGACCGAGCACGGCCAGAAATACGAAAAAGAGAACACACCACCACACTGCCGCCGCCGACGACGACGCGAAACCGCTCGAGACGGCGACAGGAGCAGGAGCAGGGGCAGGGGCAACAGCTGCTGCTGCTTGTCTACGGTTCGCCGCTCGCGACGTTTGCACCGCGAACGCTCTGTACGTCGCGTACGGTAATAACGGCGATGGAGTAGCTGTGTGGAGGAGGCGTTTACTATTTTTACGCACCGAGAAGAAAGCGGCGGCAGCGGCCGCGACGGGTTTTTTGTTTTTCGAATATCTATGTCTTTTACGGACCGAAAGGGGCAAGGATTTTGAGTTTTGGGATGCAATAGAATGTATCCCGGATGGTTCCTTCGGAAGCTAACGGAGCTCTTGATATCAACCTTTAATATTTTTTTATCCGAGGAACCTCAATCAACCGCGCGTGTACCACAACGTACTAAAATATTATAATACGCGCACGTTCGGTTTATTTTTTTTTTGGTTTATAACAACGTCTGACCTTGGGACTCGAGTATGCGAGTACGATTATAATTGTGGAAACAATAATTGGAATGATAACGCACAGGTGAAAAATATAATATAATCATAACAATACAAAGTTTTTCTAAAACACAATCAAATATCATGATGGTTTGATGCCTTGTTCGCCGATTATTAATTGCCTATACTTTGGTTGATCGGCTTTACAGATTGGCCAAAATGTGAATAATTCATAATTACAGTGCAGACATATTATTATAGTTCATTATCACAATGCGATATGTGTCACGAGACGTCAATTATTATTGTTCTAAATATTCTATAAAACGTATATAAAAACAATTTGTGTATCCGTATCGCTCGTATAAGTGCTGTGGTCGTGGACAATGGCAATACTAACTGTGCATTTATTCAGTATGATTTTGCACGTTAATTAAAAAATGATATTAACACGTCAATCAGATATTCACGTATAGGTAGGTACAGTAGGTACACATTTGTTTCACAAATATAATACGATTACACATAACCGAATCTAATGTTTACAAGTCTATTTCTACATGATGCCCAAATTAATTTTATTAAGTAGAGCGTGTCATAAGAATTTACATTTTAATGAGACATTAAATATCAGGTACAATAAAAGATCGAATAATTTCTTATAAGAATCACAAATGTAAAATAAATACATGAGTCATATTTTACTTTTGATTCAAAAATATGTTGATAAATAAAGTACAATAAAATATGTAGTTTCCATTTGATGAATTGTGTGCAGTATAAGAACATTGTATGAAAAAAGGTCATTGACATTTAGTTGGACTAAATGTAGAAAGACTAAAATGCTATACACTCGGCTCGTATATTAAATATTTAAATACATTATATGTCAAACACTAGTCTCACAATTATTTTTGCCATCAAATTTTAAAAACTTAACTAGAACATTAACATATATTATATGTTTTTGTTATATTAACATACAACCTAATTATATGCTCAAAATTAGCTCGATACATACATATAGTATTTATACCTTGTAATACACTATTTTCAAACCAAACTCCTCTAAAATACTTGGGTGAGAATTAACATCCTACTCCAGTCCTTCAAAATAAATTTAAAATAGTTTATGATAATCGAGATTTTATAGAAAACGTATTTGATTGATTGCAATAATTTACTACTTTATTGATTTTAATACAACTTTAACTAATAACAACTTTCGCAATAAACTCTGGAATTTCGATTTTTATCTAAGTTATAATTCGTACATCATTTCCTATCTAAAGATAGATGTAGCATGTATGTAATTTTACTGTGAATTGTCTCAAAAAATTTTAAAGAAAAAAATAAAAAAATATTCGGCATCAAGATTAGGTTATTATTTATCACACTTCATTCAATATTTAAAATATAAGATTTCGCATTTATAACCAAATAAAAAACCAGTTAGTCAATGACCAAAATAAAATGATTGAATATAATTATTCATATCAAAATATCCAGGTTAAAATTTATAATATACTAGCTGATCACGTGCACTTAGTTGCCCGTTAAAAATACCAACTCTATGTGAGACTCGATGGTGATAATGCGAGCAGCATATTATGCCTACCTGCTGTAGATTGTGGACCCCGCTAGATGAGTACTTTATATAAATAATATGTTTTATTTTTATTTTTATTGCTAATGATTGACGAAGATGAGCGGCTAGAAGTGCAACTTAACCACCTAGGTAGGCAATCTGCAAAAATTCAATTGTATGTATACCTCAATACCTGATCTGAACGACGAACCACTACAGGCAACCAATAAGCAAAAAAAAAAAAAATACCAATTTCTACAAATATATTTATATTTCTCCTATAACCAATAGCAACCGTACATAAACAAATATTTCCTTCGTAAATCTTAAAATCCCCGTTTGAACAACTCTTCGGGTCGGATCTATCGGGTCCAATTGTGAATTTAAGCCATCCAGCGCGTCACCCAAACGCATACAAAAAATGCATTCAAATCGGTCCAGCCGTTTAGGAGGAGTTCAGTGACACATGTACAGTAGAATTATATATATAAAGATAATTAAAACATGCAGGAGATAAATAAAATAATTATATAAATAATAGATATAATATTTATTAACATGTACCATATGTCCATATAATGAGCAAACCAAAGTATTATACAATTATTAATGAATATTAATTATTAGTCAATATATAATATCTAAGCTTATTTTAAATGAAGATAAATGAAGATAAATGCAATGAACTGTTACAACAACTGCAGCTTTGGTACTTCCCTATAACTAAATATTATTACAGTATATATGGTTAAATTAAATTTTTTGTAAATAGTTTTTGGTATGTTATGGCATGTTATGTATATAAAGCTATTAAAATACAAACAATTTAGAACAACAAAACATGGACTTTAAATTCAATTTTGTATGTTGAAATAAAATTAATTCATTGGTATTAATTAAAAACCAATAAAATAAATACAAATATGCAGTCGAAGGATCAACGTACAAAATACTCCATGATGCAGTGTTTGGAATGTATAGAGAATGGATCACCAACGAAATGATACTATTATTCGAATTTAAATGGATTAGTAAGTATAAAATAATATGTACTAAATCTACATATTATACAACATTTTAATTATCAATTAAATTTAAATAAATATAAAAATCACTCTCAAATAAAATATCATATTTTTATAGTATCAGATAAACCACTGGCACTTATAACTTTTAAGTCAATGTTTTGAAATTATTGTTCATCAAAGTATTGTAGAAAACCTATTTAATATTATATAATTATGTGGATTATAAAAGAATAACAAAACTAGTTACACACATTTATGTTTTTATATTTAAACATAAAACCATAGTATTTATATAGTCAACAATTTAAAGGAAGCGTTTAAAATTACATCGAATTAAACTTAATTGAAGTGTATGAAAAAAAAAGTTAAAAGGAATTTTTCTATTCATTAGTATTTTTTCAAAGATACTTGTGGTCACAGTACCTACCTACAGCCGCATAATATTTTTAAGACTATAAAGTACGGACGAAATTTTGTTTAAATTAAAGGTTTTGTACAAGAGATTTTAAAGTATAAATATATTATTCTTATAACAACATAACATAACATACCTATATTGATGGTTATTTAGATTTTTTAGTAAAAAGCATTCCAGGAATAAATATGAACCTAATTTCGATTGTAGTTCAACAATGTAATTCAATAAGTGATAATTTGAATCAGGCCATATCTATGGTATCACGTTTCTCTACACAACATATTCGTTAAGAGCTAATAAATAAGGACATTGGTATTACATATATGATAACATTTTATATGTAATAAAAATATTTAAATTATTTAAAGCTTTTTATTACATCGAGAATTTAATAAACATTTAAAAATATGCAGTAGAAATCGTCTATAAATGACTTTCAAGGGACCAAGGGAAATAGGTCATAATAACAGACAGTCCCATACAACTACTACCGATAAAATTTAACTTGTAAAACTTCCCTATGTATTTTTTCGGGTCCTTTACTTTAAGGTCGTAAAACAAGATAAGTCACTACAACCGGTGTCATTATAAACGATTTCTACAGTTTTATAAATGAAATAGGCATTTGACAATTTTGATTTTGATTATTACAGGAAATACAGTCTTATAAAATAATAAGTTATACCCAAAACTAAATTATCTTCAATACTAAGAAATAGTTATATTTATCTGACGCTAACAAATCATAAACAACACAATTGTAAATACAGTACAATTCGTACTTTAAAGTTTCTACATTCATAGAAATACTTATGTAAAAATCAAAATTTTCCAAATCTTAGTGGTAGTATATTACAATAATATATCATTCTATACTTCTTTGAAACAGTATAGGTATATTAATTTTTAATGAATTATTTAAAATTGAATAAAATGTATACAGTATATAGAAAAAAACTCGAAGAAGTTAGTCACAAGCTTGTCAAGAACAAGAAGAAGTTAATACAAATTGTTTAATTCGTCTGAGTTTTAAATTATAATTTATTTCTTATTTCTTATCTTAATATGAAGTGTACCCACTGACGGCCATGTCATTTACAGAACGAATAAAACAATCATGATGCATGTAGTTTGCACTCTCTCAATTATTTTACATACACAAATACAACAAAACAAAATTGCAAATATTTGTAATCGAAGAGCAATTAGGATAATAGCTAGTTAATTCAATAATAAGATGTACACGAATAAATGAGCAAACGTTTAGTATAGGTATTTGGTAATAATGGCAATTTACTATAATAATATTAAGATTGTGATTGACCTT